TTAATAAAATTTTTTACATTTAGTTACTTGATGAAAAAAAATTACAGGAAACACAAAATTTATATGTTGATTTCGAATCACCAGAAAGAGCTGCTAAAGTGTATGCATATATTTATTTGAATAAGATTCTATTTTTTCTTTTATTTAGATTAAAATTAACACATTTTGAAAAATTCGATGATACAACACAAGCACTTGCAGCAGCAACAGCAGCAGTTGAAGGAAAAATCTCTAAACCATTAAAAAAATTACTTAAACGTCTTGTTGATTCTGATGTACAGGGACAATTACTTGTTGCTGATTCTACACTTGGCAAAGCTATTAAAGTTTGTTTTACTATATATATATATATATCAATACAATAAATATAAATTTATTCTAGGAAAAATTTAGTTTCGATTGTGTATGCAATAGTTCAGTACAAGATCTTATGCGGGTTATTCGTTCACAAGCTGATAGTCTATTACAAATTGATGAAAAAGAATTAGCTGCTATGCGTATTGGTTTAGCACATAGGTATAAAATCATTTCAAAAATAAATCGAATTCATTGATAAGCAATCTATATGAATTAATTGTTTGACCTGAGATGTTTTCGGCAGGTGAAATTATGATGAAGAACTTATTGTCAAGAAATCAGACGGTGACATTCCCAAAAATTGATTTGGGACCATCGGAAATTTAAAAAAAAATCAAATATCTATTTTTGTGTGGTGGTAGTTTACCCATCTATCTATGACTTTAGTTCGATTACTATATAATCGATAAACACTTTGAGTTAAAATATTCTTTTATGAAAAATAGAGGAAAATTTTTAAGACCACCGCCCCCCTCCCCCCTCAAAAATCGATCCCAGCTCCAGGCACATTCAAATGGGCTGATGTGTGGAGGCTGTGGTAAAATTTTCAGCTCGATACCCTGATGTTTGACAGAGATATGAACCAAACAAGGGTCAATAGTAGTTCATTTGGCAATTCATTTTTCTCGGTCAAAGCTCATTCAATATATTAAAATTTTTTTTTTTGTTTGAAAGAGCATCTCAAGATGCAGTGCAGTACAGAGTCTTTTTTGTTTTTAAATTATTACCTTTTAAGCGGAGAAAAGGCCTGACAAGTTCAATGACTCAAAAAACTCCCTAAAAATGGTGGTCTGTTTATATAAGTGTTTGTATATATAATAAAAAACAAGCTTAATTTAAAAAAAAGGACTCTGTACTGCACTACATCTTGACGTGCTCTTTCAAACAAGAAGCAAATATTAATACATTGGACGAACTATGAAAGAGAAATTTGGGATGCGCGTACGAGAAAGCGAAAAATGAGAAAAAAACGAAAAAGATTTTTGGATATTTCAAAAAACTGCTGGTTTTTCAAAAACTGGTTCTCTGAAATTCTAAAATATTTCTAGAAAAAATGGAGGTTTTAGGAAAAATTTTTATTGATTTCGAAAGAGCAGACGCCGAACAATTTTCCTATGTATTTATCTCAATTTTGACAATTCTCACGAAAATTGACTTTTTTTGACGGGGGTGGCCTTAAATAAATGCTGTGGTAACAGAAAAAAGTGATTTTCAACTTGAAACTTTGCATAGAGACAAGCCTTAACTAGAGTAGTTTATTGTGAAAATTTCAGATCTTTTGATTTACTTAAGTTTTCTGATCGAAATAGGATAGTCGCCCCGAAGATATGAGATACTTTTTCGCCGGTTTTTTCTATTGGTGACTAGTACACTCTACGCATTTCTCAGACGAATCGTCTAACAAATGTGCAGGGTAGAGCCCATCTACCTTGAGTGAGACTCAAGGGGAAAATGATGTACCCTGGTACTCCCAGAGAACACGGAGTCCAACGAGAAGAAACAGCGTAGTGCAGTGTTTCCCTACCGCCTGAGCTCCGGAAGTATAGTGAGAGTCTAGTCGAAGTACATGGACTCTGCGGAGCACGGCGTTTATTTGAAAAATGCAGTATCTTCATATGAATAAGCTATGGATACGAACTCCTTTCAAGGTGAATCTTGACTCAAAAGCGATTGAACAGTTGGAAAACTTTCCTTGTTAAAGCATAAGCTAGATGTGAAATTTAAAGAACTTTCTTATACAAGAGAATAATCTGATCATTTTGTTTTTTTGTGCTCATATATTCGCTGATAATACTATTCAATGTAATGATTTATTTCAAAATTATTATTGAATTTTTAGTTTATCTCGATACAAATTGAAATTTTCTCCTGATAAAGTTGATACAATGATTGTTCAAGCAATCTGTATGTATTATTCTATTTGTTAATTTTATTTATTTATTTATTTATTTATTTTTTCAATAGCTTTATTGGATGATCTTGATAAAGAAGTCAATAATTATATAATGCGTTGTAAAGAATGGTATGGTTGGCATTTTCCTGAATTAGCTAAAATTATTCAAGATAATATTGCTTTTTGCAAAACAGTTCAACGAATAGGTTTACTTCTTTTTTTTTTTTTTTAATAAATTTCCTTTATATTTTATTGAATATAGGTTATCGAACACTTGCAGCTGAACTTGATCTATCCGACATATTACCATCAGATGTCGAAGCACAAGTAAAAGAAGCAGCTGAAATATCAATGGGTACAGAAATATCTGAAGAAGATATAACAAATATTCGTCATCTTTGTTCACAAGTATGTTTAGTTGAATGGTTTCGTATGAGAAAAAACTATATGTCTCATGTTCGAATCTAACATAAAGAAAATTTTACCAATAATCTATGATGACGTTAGTTACCGCCCCAGTCTGAATTCCATACACAGGTTGAACGGTCCCATACTGAGATTATTGGTTTTATTGAATTTTTATAATAAAAAAAAAAAAAAAAAAAAACTTTTTCTTATTGTAAGGTTATTGAAATATCTGATTATCGTACACAATTATTTGAATATCTTAAAAATCGTATGATGGCTGTTGCACCTAATTTAACTGTTCTTGTTGGTGAACTTGTTGGTGCACGACTTATATCACATGCTGGATCATTACTTAATCTTGCTAAACATCCAGCATCAACTGTACAAATATTAGGTGCTGAAAAAGCTTTATTTCGTGCAATGAAAACAAAACATGATACACCAAAATATGGTTTAATTTATCATGCATCATTAGTTGGTCAAACATCTGCTAAACTTAAAGGCAAAGTTAGTCGAATGTTAGCTGCAAAAGCAGCATTAGCTATACGTGTTGATGCACTCGGCGAAGGTACAGAAGCAACATTAGGTATAGAACAACGTGCAGATTTAGAAAAGAAATTTTCAATACTTGAACAAAATGCGGTATAGATAATTTAGATGAAACGAAAACAATCTCATTTTTATTTTTTTTTTTAAGACAAAACGTATATCAGGTACGGGTAAAATGCAAGCAAAATTTGAAAAATATCAAAAAAATTCGTATGTTATCAATTAATTTTTCTATTTTTTTTTTTTTAATTATTTGTTTTTGATAAATAGTGAAAAAGGACAATTTAATCAAGATCAAGCTTCAACATTGCCTCATAAACGCTATTCCGATTTTGGTGGACGAGGTGGTGCTAATAAACGATTTAAAAGTGATAACATGAATAAATCATTTGTTGTTTAATCTAGTTGTTTTGACTATAACTAGTCATACTTGTTATTTCTTGTTGTTTTTCTTTTTTCTAATAAAATAGAAAATGAAAGGAAATAAACAAATGAAAATAATTTTCATTTTTTTTATATCCTGACTTCTCACTTGAAATACTTATTTCATAGAATTTCAAGTAGTAAACGTCAGGTAAAGAATAAACGAACTCTTCATTCCAAAATAACCTTGTTGTGTAGTTTTTTCTTCTTTTATCAATAAGGTTAAAGGCATAGAAATGAGTACAAAAGAACGGTTTTTTTGCAATGCAAACTGTAATTTAAATATAATGCTTTATATTGATGGACAAACTCAAACATGACATCCGTTGTGCTTTCGTTATAATTATAATGTACGCATTTATACAGGAAAAGAGAACGGAAAAGAAATCTTTTTTTTTTCTTTGGTTCTATATGAATCGTGACTGGATGTCTTAGGGTTTATGTTTATTTTAAGTTTAAGAGAAAGATCAGCATGAGTTTGTAAATAATGACAAAAAATATTAATATCCTTGCCCGAAATTCCAATCCATATAAATTATTTTTATTAAGCATCACTGTAAAAAAGAAAAAAAACGTTACAAATTCATGTTAAAATCGCCAAGAAAACAAAAATTTATATTTAGAAGTAAAATTTCAAATCTTCTTTAGACTTTACAATTGATTAGACAGTAAGAATCATGATCTATGCACATTGATCAATTATTATTTTCTTTTTTTTTTTTTAATATGCATAATATAAATACCTATTCTCGACATACAAGCTCTTCAAACTTTCTATATAAAATCTAAAGGAAGTCAATATAACCCCACGTTTTTCTTTTTTTTACTCTGTCAATTTCTTGAGTAGCATAAAAAGAATTCTTTTTTTTTTTTACTTCTTTTGAAATACTATTCATCAATGTAACCAATGAAATATCTTCTTTTTGAAAGTATTCACATGATTTTCCTATTGGATGAAATCTGATAGAGCAAAAGAAAATATTTTCTCTCTCTCTCTGTCTCCCGTTTTCTTTCTCAAATTACCCCTAATTATTATCGATGAAACGAACACATATAGCTTATCGTCAACTTATTGTAAAGAAAAAAGAAACCAAAAGCAGATCATTATTATCATCATCATCAGCCTAATCTTTTAAAAAAAAAAAAAAAAAGACAATTTACTCCCCAATTGATCGTTTTTCTTTCTTTGTATTGTATACATCAATGCATCGTCAACCGTAATTATCCAAGGGAAATTACGCTTACGCTCGTCTAACTTCATTAATTTCTTATTCATTGCTATTATTATTATTTCATCGTACAAATTATAACTATCGAAATTATCCAAAACGAAAAGAAAAAAAAAAAAGAAGAAGAAAAAAAGAAAGAAATGATGCATAATGAACCAATCCAAGCACTTCCACCACCATCATCGTCATCATCATCATCAAATGCATTTCTTGATTTTACTAATCAAGAACAACGAACATCATCATCAATAAATATATCAAATCAACAATATTCAAATTTTATTCATAATGCATATCCAATATCACAAGAACAATTTTATTCATCAAATTATTCATATCCATATAATATACCATATTCATCATTAACAATTGATTCAAATTTAGTTGATGATAAATCATCTCATTATGATAATCCACCAAAATTAACAATAAAAGGAAAAAAAATTCGTAAACCAAGAACAATTTATTCAAGTATGCAATTACAAGTACTTAATAAACGTTTTCAACGTACACAATATCTTGCTTTACCTGAACGTGCTGAATTAGCTGCATCACTTGGACTTACACAAACACAAGTAGAATAATTGGATTTTTTTTTTGTCTTTTTGAAACATAAAAAAAAACTTTTATTCATTATTTTAGGTCAAAATTTGGTTTCAAAATAAACGAAGTAAACAAAAAAAAGTTGTTAAAAATGTTAGTCATCATTCATCGTCGTCTTCCCAACCCTCTAACCCAAATTTATCACCACATCATCGTACATCACGATCGATGAACAATAAATCTACTGATTCTATGTTTTTAGTAAAACACGAACAACAACAACAACAACAACAACCAACATCATCATCAGCACCATCATCAACAAATTCAAATTCATTTATTATTGATGCTACATCATCATCACCATATGGACATGTAATGGATTATACAAATCATCCAAATAATTTTTGGCCATTACCACCACCACCACCACCACCATCATCATCATATGCTGTTAATTAGATGAAAAATTCTAATTTTTGAACAAATATAGTTGTGAAAAAGTTCTTTTCCTGTCTATGTGTATTTATATGCAAGAAAATAAACAAAAAAAACAAAAATAACATTCTTTTTTTTTTTTTTTGCTTTATATTATTTAAATAAAATCTAAAAGAGCGAATAAACAAATTTCCTATTCTATATATTCTACATTATTCTTCAGTGTTTTGTGCTTATCAATTCCCCCCCAAAAAAAATTGTTCGACTCTTCCCCACTCTCCGATCTTGGTCATCTCGGGACTAGATTTCGGTGGTAATGTCAAAAATTACCTGAAACCGGAAGCGCAATTCCGGTTACTAGAAGTGAGAAAGATCACACGAAACCGGAACCGTTAAATTATCAGATAAATACGAAAATTTCGAAATTGAGATTAAAGACAACTTAAGATCTCCATCCCTCAAAAATCGATCTCAGTCCAGGAACGTCCAAATGACCTGAAAATTGGAGAATATATTGAGACTGAAATGGGAAAGCTATAATAAAATGAGTTTTAAGGTAGATATTGACCAAATCAAGGGTTAAAAATAGGTGATTTAGCATTCCAAGTTTCTCAGATTCCGAAATCCATCCAATATATTTAAATTTTTTTTGTGTTGGAAAGAGCAGAGCATGACGAGATCTGATTTTTTAAATATCCACTTTTCATGGAATCGAAATTTCGATGACTGAAAAAATCCTCGAAAAATTATCGTCAATTTATATAAATGCCTATATAAATAACCAAAAAAAAAAGCCTAATTGGAAAAACTAGCATCTTTACATATATTGTGAACTGAGGAAAAAAAACAAAAAAATGACGGGCTATCTTTCCATGCATTTATCTTAATTTTGATCATTCTGACTTTTTTGAGGGGATGGGGATCTTAAATAAAACAATATTATACATATATACTGAGATTTTTAATCTCAACAATTTTTGTATCTATCTGAGGATTTAACGGTTACGATTTCAGTTTTTTTTTTTGAATCGCCAAACTCTAGACACCTTTTTTTTGTTTTTATTTGAAGTTACGTAATCATTCAGTTGTAGAAAACAATTTTTCTTCATGAAAAAAATAAACGAAAGTGTTTTTGAGCAAAGAAGTAAAACGAATCCAGATATATATATATATATATATATGTATGACAAATCAAGTGTGATTTCATCATCTTCAAAGGACGAAGCTGTGTTTATGATCACTATACTGTTCTTCATGCATACATATATTACACAGTTAAAAGCCTTGCGGCATGATGATTATTAAGTGAAGAGTGGAAAAGAAAGGACAATTATCTTCTCATTTCGATACTGTTTTCACCTGATCTCTTCAATAGAGAGAGAGATGCTAATCTCTACTTTATTTCTTTCTCTCAACGACAAGAAATATGTTTTTAACATAAAGACATCTGCTCTATCGCACGCGTCCAATTAAAGATGATGATGTTCTTATTACAGACTTTCAGCTATGATTTCCGTTAACGTGTTGTTCTTTTTTACCAATATATATATATATATATATACTAATTAGAACTCAACATATATCTCCCCCTTCCATTAGTCGGCAGGCAATTCTTCTATAATTAGAATAAATCTAACAAAAAAGAAAAAAAAAAGGACGAGGACGAACTCGCTTTTTTTTTTAAATATTAACGTTCGATTGAACATTTTTTTTTCTACTGTTGTTGTTGTTGTTTTATTAATTGGAACAACTACATCCTTTATAAAGCTGATTATTATTTACTCTTTTGATCTTTACATCTATCGATGCACAGACGACATCCTGAAATAAAAAATGCATAAATGATTTATTCTTAAAAAAAAAGGATTTAAAATTATTCGATCGATGATGATAGGTCACTATATTGAAATTGTTTATGACAGGAAAGACAATATAAAAGGCTAATTATGTTTCTCGTGATAACATGCTGTGGTAGTGACTGTTACTTTTGATCAATGATTATATCAAATGAATGTAGACATATATATATGTGTATATGGCAAGAATGGAATTATGAGAAAAAAATGTGTTATCGATAGATTTAAATAAAAACAAAAGGAATGGCATTGATAACTAATAATTCACAATAGGTGGTCTTCTTTGAATTAAGTGATTATACTTTTTTTCAAAATAATTTTTCTTATGATTTTATTTCACGTGTTCATAGTCAATTAACCTTGAGATGACTAAAGTGTGATGTAATTATTGTTGCTTTATTGATCGATATTTATCTCACTATGAGTTAAGTAAAGTGTGAAAAGCTACAATTTATATTGATTGAGGGGCGGGATAACAATTGAATCGAAGAATACTAATCGATATTACACTTAAAGGCATGTTTCTTTTTTTTTTGTTTTGATTTGATATTTTCATCTATTAAACTTATGTTTGATTGTGAAATCGTTCAAAGACAAAAAATTAAACATACCAAATTTCGAATATGAATCTAATACATGCTATTGCAATTTGAGAGGATGACCAACGACAACAATTAGATCGTACAAATAATTCTTAAATTAACTATCGGATTTTTTTTTTCGTATACATATCAATCTGTATGTTTTTATGAAAATAAAATATTCGGTACTTTACGTATATACGAGAATTCAACTAGAGTGACTTCCATATAAATATTACAATGCTTTGAGAAAAATCTCTTCGAGAAATGGAGACTTTCAACATGTAGACTCTTCTTCATGGATATGAATTTTGTTTTTTTTAAAAGCTTCCTACCTCAAATAAACTTTTCAGAATTTTTCTATGTACTCAAATCCTTGAAGTTAGAAAGAAACACCTGAGCGGGCTCCCTCGCTAGATAAAGCATAAATGTCTTTATCATCTTTCTGATGCTTAGAAGGAAACAAACGAGACAAATTCAGATAATCAATTTGATGAAGAAAAAAAAAGAAAGTTCGATTCAGACATGACAATAAAGTTTTCAAATGAAGCCATCAATGCTTGTCGATTCCTCAAACATGACTTGAAAAAAGAGAATGTTTAAAAGTTTCAAATTTATCAGAACGGATATTCTAGTTATTTTGATGCTACAGGATACGATCAAATATCTCATATGAAAATCATGCACTTCTCTCAAAGTTGATTGTTAGCACAATGAAATATACAACTATTCAATTTTTAGAAATTCATATGTTTCTTTTTTTTACAAAATATATTATCAGAAATGAGATTTTTGTAATTTTATTTCTATCTTTGAAGGTCATTCGTCCTATGAATCTTTTCTATATCATATGTTTCATTTCATATTTGTAGTTGTATACTTATATATCTTGTTACACAACATTAATAAACATATATACATATATTTATAAAGTACGATAAATTCGAATGTACATTCATTTCAATGAAACTCAAAAAAAATATAAGAAATAACATTCATATCTGACAAAATAATTCCATTATTTGCGGAGTTTATCTATCACATTCTTGATGAACTAATAATGCTTCTATTAATGAGAGATATTTTCACAAGACTTAACGTAATACTCAACACTGATGAAGATGTCTATCTTTTGTGATTAATTAAAATTTGCAGTTAATGTCTTTTCATGTTATTATGCTTTGATACATACCTAAATAGGAATGTACATTGAGATTTACTGTAACCAGATTGTTATACATATCTTTTCAACAGCAATCTTAAATTAGTCTCTACTAGAAAGTATTCTTGTCAAGTAATATCAATTTTAATTTGATAGAATATAATAGATCATGCTTGTTTTCATATTACATAAATAAGTTTAAATAAAAAAAATTTGCATTTCAATTCAAATCTGTTATATATGTCTCAAGAGTAAAATGGTTTGTATTACTTTTGAAAAAATAATCAATATTTATATCAAAACAGAAACATATATAAATATTAAGGATTATTTACTATTATTTCAATGAGTCTAAATGAGATATTTTTGGTTATGCATCGAACATCGTTTCAATTCAAATCAATTCATTTGAGTTATCATTATCATTTATTGAGATTGATTTAAAATAGGTACTCAACAAAACGCACAATGTCATACTGTTATCTATTAAGTGTATCTCACAGCTATAGAAAAAAAAAGGGAAAGAACGATATTGAGAAATATCTTTAGATTATTATCTTAGTGTTTGAATTTCAAATCTTAGGAATTTTCTTATTGTTCTGAACATATTGATAAAAAATCGAAGAAACTAGCAATTTTCAGAAGTCTCAGTTTCATTTAAAAATTTCATACACAATATCTTTTATATTTCTTTTTACATTTCATAGCTACAATCTAAACTTATATCATTGAACTATTATATTCAAAAATAATACAGTAAAACAAATTCTCTACTTAACTATCATTCTTATTCAAAACAAATATTCACAATATAGTAAAGAGAAATTTTGAAGTTCAATATAATCTTTTAACAATAGAAATTTTTGACCTTGGTACAGTCATCATTAGTTACATCATACATGTAAAACTCGAATAATTATTACAACTATTCAAATTTTATACGCATCTACAAAACACATTACAGGATGTGTGAGTACTACGGAATATGAACACATGGAGAAAACACACAAAAAGAACATAGATTTGGTACTACATTACGCTTGATACAGAGAGACACATGAAAATATTCAAAATCTCCGAATTGCAATGGAAAGTTCAAAATTTGAATAGTTGTAACGAATTAATGAGTTCTACACTACTGAATAGAGCAAAAAATACACAACATAAACATAAAAGTGGGCGTGTGATGTGTGGGTGTATATGATTATTGTTCATGTTTTCTTTATTGATATTTACTTTTCCGATCGAAGTGAACGGAGCAAAAACACATTCGGAATAGGCGAACGAAACAAATAATGTCTTATGTAGTTGATGATGATCGTACAATTTTAAATAAGATCGAAAATTTCTGTTTGTTAAAAGATTTTATTGAACTGCAAAATTTCTCTTTATTATATTATTATTATTATTCAAGTTTCTTTATTA